TAATTCCATCGTAGGCTTGCTGGACGGTGATGGGTTGAATGAGATTTTTCATGTAATCGAGTTAGTTTTGTTAGGGTTTGATCCCTAGTATCCACTATGTTCTGAGATTGATGTTGCTATGACTTTGCTATGCTTAATGCTTGTCACTAGGGCCCGAGTGCCATGATTACAGATCTGAACCTACTATGTTTTCATGAATATATGTGAGTTCTTGATCCTATCTTGCAAGTCTATAGTCACCTACTATGTGTTATGATCCGGCAACCTCGAAGTGACAATAATCGGGACCACTCCCGGTGATGAACATAGTTTGAGGAGTTCATGTATTCACTATGTGCTAATGCTTTGTTCAGGTCCTCTATTAAAAGGAGGCCTTAATATCCCTTAGTTTCCAATAGGACCCCGCTGTCACGGGAGTGTACGACAAAAGATGTCATGCAAGTTCTTTTCCATAAGCACGTATGACTATATTCGGAATACATGCCTACATTACATTGATGAATTAGAGCTAGTTTTGTGTCACCCTATGTTATGACTATTACATGATGAACCTCATCCGGCATAATTATCCATCACTGATCCGGTGCCTACGAGCTTTCCATATACTGGTCTTCGCTTATTCACTTTTTCATTGCTACTGTTACAATCACTACAAAATACCAAAAAAACATTACTTTTGCTGTCTTTACTTTTGTTACCGTTACCACTACTATCATATTACTTTGCTACTAAACCCTTTGCTGCAGATACTAAGTTTCCAGGTGTGGTTGAATTGACAACTCAGCTGCTAATACTTGAGAATATTCTTTTGCTCCCCTTGTGTCGAATCAATAAATTTGGGTTGAATACTCTACCCTCGAAAACTGTTGCGATCCCCTATACTTGTGGGTTATCAAGACCATTTTCTGGCGCCGTTGCCGGGGAGCATAGCTCTATTCTTTGAGTCACTTGGGATTTATATCTGCTGGACACTATGAAGAACTTGAAAGACGCTAAGACAAAAATTTATCCCTCAACTACGAGGGGAGGTAAGGAACTCCCATCTAGCTCTGCACTTGATTCACCTTCTGTTATGAGTAAGCTAGCGACACCTAAACCTGCTTCTGCTATTCGTTCCGATATGTCACATGTTATTGATGATGCCACTTCTGCTATGCATGATACTTATGACGAAACTACTTCTATGTTTGATACTACTGTGCCCCTTGGTGAATTTCTAGATGAATAAATTGCTAGGGCTGGAGAGAAAGAAATTATTGAATCTGAATATGATGATGAAAGTGATGATGAAAATATGCCTATTATTCCTGAGGGTTATGTTTTTGATATGGAATCTTCTGCAGCTATTTTTGCTTGTAAAGATAGATATGAACTTAAGAGGCTGCTAGTTAAATGGAGTAAAGAATCTCTTAGAAACAGAATGAAACCTGACCCTGCTTTTACTACTTCACCTATTTGTGTTCCTGATAAGGGTTATGAATTTTCTGTTGATCCAGATATAATTACTTTGGCCGAATCTGATCCTTTTTATGGCTATGAATCTGAAACTGTTGTGGCACATCTTACTAAGTTAAATGTTGCCCTTCTTCTGTTCTCTTTACCCCTCACATAAGCATAGATTCACTTGTGGTAAAGTGGACTCCTCCCTCCCCTAAGCCTCTCCCGCGAGAGGCCCCGGGGCAACCCTAGCCGTCAGGCTGTTGCAGACCCAACAAAAGATGATGTAAGCACACATGGTCCGAATATGCACCCAACCAGGTGACTAAGAATCGTGCACACACCAGGCAACCATCTAGTCGACAAGAGCTATCTGTTGAATCCGTCTTCACATGTGTCCCGTAGATCACAGGGCGAAGAGAAAACAATATCTCCAAAATCTCACATTGTAGACACTCCAGCACCCGCACCTTCCCCAACAAAAATACTAGCGGCGTATGGCCCCAGGCAGCTTGGGCCGCCGGCTGGAACGTGGCAGACGTGCTCTTTGTTGATTATAACTACTATAGTTACCGTTTTGCATCATAATTTCCGTTAGCTAGAAGGCCCGCCTCGGGATTATCTAGATCTTGGTACTTCTACAGGTGCATTTTGGTAGTAAATCTATGCATGGCCAATGGGCACTAGATGGTACACCACCAATCGCCACTGCATCACCATGGCCGGAATCTACCATCATCAGCTACGTTGAGCAAACCACCTGCCAGCAACAGCAGCACTGCGTTGCACACCATCTATGCAAGCCGCACCGTAGCTGGCGGTGCTACCAGTCGCCATAAATCATCTCGACACCTCAACGACACAAATTTGGGCACCGGAGAGTCAAGGAAGTGGCTCCATCCATTGGGGGGAGGGGTGTTTGGATATCCTCCTCTTGTGGGTTGCATGAAGATGACCATGTTGAAGGCTTTTATGTAGCCCAAAGGTGTGCAAAAGACCACTATCCATTAGGGTTATGACGTAGGGTCATTTTGGACTTTGCACATGAGAGGATGGGGCTGTGTTACCCTCCATCCAGCAGCCATCACCAAGAATGACGAAAATTAGACCAGCCACATTGAAGGAAGAAGCAAAGAGAGCTCCTTCCCAAGGTTGTGATGGTCCAGATCCACTATCTTGTCTCCTTCAATCTGCGGTTCCATCATCTTTGGTAAGACTGTTCCAATCCCTAGCTCTTGAGCCTCAAATCTTGTTGTCTTCATCCAAGATTCAAAGATCTTAATGTATTACAGTGTCTAGTGCCACCTCACGAGAAGAACTTTTTGTATGTCATATTTGATAATAGAGAAAGATGATTTGGGTTGGTTCGGCCCATGGTTTTCCATCTCAAGCTGGGGAGTTTTCTACGTAAAAATGTGGCATCTCTGTGTTGATGTTTGTCGCTGTCCTAAAAGTTAAGCTTGCCACCAGATATAATCTGAGGAGTGTCTGGTGTGCTGCGAAATTTATTTTCCTCCATACATGTCGTACATATGGTTCCTTCTGTGCTAAGCAACGATCCTTTGAGTTAGTACACGATGTGGTGCTGAGATTACTTTATTCCACTTCAGTTTCCCAGTTCACCACAAGGATGTTTGTGTGCTAATTCCCAATAGAGGGGTGTAGCAGGGCTATGACACCACTGTCTTGAGCTTCGTTTTTGGGGAAGGGAGTCAACGCACAACCTTGGGTCTCCACAGAAACATGGTGCGTGCGAGCGAACACACCCCGTTCCCGCCGTCTGTGAGACTGTCTTAGTCCGGCAAGCTCGTCTGGTTACAACGAGGCAATGTGAGGAGAAGGGGAGGGTAGCAGCGGCGGAAACTAGGGTGTCCACATGTCGCCCATAGGGATGCAACCAGCCAGTCCTACATGTGTTTACAGTGTGAAAAGAACTCGATTCACATATCTATCCATTAGAGAATCTACAGACGGGCGCCTTAAACCGGTATCAAACACCCAGGCGGGCTGACCGGTCAAAAAAACAACCACCCGGGTGCTGAAAACCAGCCTGAAATACCCGGGTTGTCCGACACCCTTCATATCCAGCCCAAGTATATGGCGGATATGGGGTGGCCTGGGCGCGTCCACCACATCAGCCTCGCCACCGCTGGCCCACGACGACCCCACTCTGTCACCACAACAACCCTACCGGGAGCACACCCTATCCTCACTCCACTTCGTTCTCTTATATCTCCATCTCTTCTCCTTCCTTTCTCCAATCTATCCTCCCGATCTCCGTCCACTATGCCATGCTCCGACAGTGCATCCGATGGATTCGGCGAAGATTGGGATGCATTCCTCCACGAGGCAGCCGACAACAAGGACGAGATGTCCCTCCGCATCGCACTGCAGCGATCACGGGTGGAGATGGGCGGCAGTTTCAGATCTGCTCCATCGCCTATCACCCGCTACCATAGCGTTGACGTCGGAGGGGGCCCTTCCCGCCCCGCGCGCAGCTTTGTGTGGGCAGCTCACTCCGTCCGGTGAACTCCTCCCACTTTGGCCATTTCTCCCGAAGGGCAGTCGTTGGTTTTAGTGCACCCTCAGCCAGCGCCGTGGATGCACAAGCCAGAATAGGAGGCCCACACCACCCGTTCTGAGAGGCAGCGGGCAAGGGAGAGGCCAGTCGCATCAGAGGCAGTGGGTTGATAAAATTAGTAATCTAGGTATACGCGCAAGACTTGCAAACTTAGGAATTCGTTTTTGTGGAAGTGATTACTAATATGGCGCTAAAACGCAAGTTTTGACCCAATTATGAGCGTTGATGACAACTGAGAACGATTACAACGATAGTGCCTGTTTCAATATGCCTTATACTCTACCAAAGTGGCACGTGACATATCCAATGCGTTAATATGCCGATCTACAAAGTGGCTTAACTGACCGTACGTGTGTATAAGCAGTGCATACCGAACTGAAAATTGCTTTTAAAGGCCGGGCTCCATGGAGGCCATTTTAAAATTTCAAAATTCATACTTTTACATTTCATAAACTCTATAAAAATACAGATATACATGGAGGCCTAATGTAAATGTGTGTGAATTTTCATGATGAAATAGGCTGAAATGAGTGTTGTGCAAAAAAAAAATATGAGGCTTTTTAACTCATGATACTATTCATCCTCAAAGTCCATGATTTGTTTTGCACAGATCACATTTCAAATTATTTCATCCTAAAATTTTACACACATACACCTCACATTCTTGTTTACTAGCACAATTGTTTTCAAAAAAAATTCAAAACTGAAAACTATGAATTTTGATTTTTTTCAAAAATTCCGGCCTCCATGGAGGCCGAGCTCCAAATCATCCCACTCATACCGAACTCGTTTTTGAAGGCCCTCTAGCTTCAACAATCAAGTCGTTGCACATAATTAATTTCACTCTTCAACATCACCTATGTATAGTAATGCCCGTACATAGTGGTCTAGTTAACATTTCTATGAGAAGAAATACGGCACCCACGATTCCCAGTAGTAAGCAGATTAAGCATTGAATGGAATTTGACCAAACAATCCTTCCTCAAAAGCGACAGCTCTGCCTTGAATTAGTCATACGTACTTGGTTTATGGAAGACCGTCGACTCACACTCTCCAGCTCTTCTAGGTCACTAATTATTTCACGCACCGTAGGTCTATTATGTTTGTTGCGGTCCGCACAGTTTCGAGCTATTTCAGTGCACCTCCTCGCTCGTGGGCAGTCCACGATGAATAATGATTCCTCCCACTGCAAAATAAGTTTAGACATGCATTGGCAGCACTCTCGCATGCATAAGTATTTGAACATAACAAGGAAATAAAAACATATGTACATTGCAGACACATTTATTATGCCGTGATTTACTTGACAAGTTTTGGTAGTTATCTGAAAATAGATTTGTATTGCTGAAAAGAAAATAAATTGTAGACAAATGGTGAGCCTGAAACCTAAAGAAATCCGTCATATAAGCATAAACTATTTAGTGAAATGCTTATTTCTAACTGGTTTGGGCTGTATTCTCTTTGCTCTTGGCAAACTTCAGTGTCTCATGATATTTTTTGTGGAATGAATAACTAGTGTTTATCATGCTAATATATGTACAATTTCAAACATTGGTGCAAATATATTGCCACATGCAACACTGTACAAATAGAATCACATTTTGGATAGCATGCAGTCCACTAATATATGTAGAATAAATGTATGAATTTTGTAATGCAGGAATCATGTAGGCATATTTGCATGTCAAGTTTTGCAACTGTAAGTGGTATATGATTACTAAAGTTCTTGGATGTTTAGCAAAAAATCACAACTTTTACCTTATAAAGAGAGGAGATATTTTAAGGTGCAAATCGACTTGAGTGTGAAAAACCCCACTTCATATATATTTACCTACATGAAAATGCCGATTCTAAAACAACTCTGAAACAGAGTAGTCTCTGCACACCCCTTCTCGGAGCGAAACTTGATAGAGACACTACATGATTGAGTTTATACAGGACACCCTTTTTGCAGAAAAGTGTGCTTTAACTTTTTGCCATTTACATATCACTAATTAAATATACCTAAATAGTTGATCTCCGCTACTCCTATAACTCCCTCCATTTTTGTATACAAGGCCACAAACTCAAATTACAGGTACCAAGGTAAAATTTGATATATGTTTTGCAACCCAACTTTTCTTTTTGTTTACGGGATCATTAATACACCGCATGCATGCAAGAAAACCGACTGGAGGAAGTAGATAAGTGACATTATGACAGCATGCATGCAAGCATTAAACAAGTTGCTAGTACGAGAAAACATCATTAATTTTGCCTCGATTACTGTTGGTGGCTTTGTATAGATGCAAAATGTATATTTCATAGTGGCCTTGTATAAGTAAATGGAGGCAATATCTAACATGCACACATGTCACCTCATCAAAGGCCATCACAACATTCATGGGAAAAAGTTTTAATTATTAGCTTATCCTCGCTACTTATATTTATTTTAACACGCACACACCTTATTATTAATCCATATATTCATGTTTCATACATCTAAAATTCATTTAAATATATTGCAACCGATTTTCGTAATGACACGCGGGGTATCACCTAGTTAAACTAAAATATTAAGCTTGTCAGATGCTACTCATATAATTACTTATTAGTAAAATCATCATAAAATATTTTTTCTACTCAAATATTCATCGGAAGCAGTGGTCACATTGTACAATGGTGATTAAGCAAATAAGGTCTACGTAAGGATAGTACAGATGAACAGATTTTGCCATAGTTCATTAGATTCGACTAGCAGACTAAGTTAGACTCTCCTTACATTCTCAAGAATTATCATGCTGATCCTAGTTAAATGTTCTATGATAATGATGCCCAGAGCATATATGTCCGGTTTGAATGATATTTCTCCTTTATCTACGATTTGTGGTACAATATATCATCTGCGTCCATTGATTTCATATTGATCCCCACTACTCATATTATCTTAACATGCACATATGTCACCTCATCAAAGGCCCATCACAACATGTATGGGAAGAAGTTTTTAGTTATTAGCTTATCCTCGCTACTTATATTTATTTTAACATGCACACACCTTGTCTCACCACTCTTGACACGTCACCAATGGCTCACCTCAACATGCATGGGAGTTACTTATATTCAATTAATACTTTTTAACAATAAAATAATCAAATATGATGTATAAAATATTTTGTGTTAGTTCATATATTATTAATCCATATATTCATGTTTCATACATCTAAAATTCATTTAAATATATTGCAACTGATTTTCGTAATAAGACGCAGGGTATCACATAGTTAAACTAAAATCTTAGGCTTGTCAGATGCTACTCATATAATTATTTATTAGTAAAATCATTCTAAAATACTTTTTCTACTCAAATATTAATCGGAAGGAGTGGCCACGTTGTACAATGGTGATTGAGCAAATAAATTCTATGTGTAATGATAGTACAGATGGACAGATTTTGCCATGGTTCAACAGATTCGATTAGCAGGCTAAGTTAGATTCTCCTTACATTCTCAAGACTTATCATGCTGATCCCAGTTAAAAGTTCTATGATAATGATGCCCAGAGCATATATGTCCGATTTGAATGATATTTCTCCTTCATCTATGATTTCTGGTGCAATATATCGTCTGCATTCATTGATTTGATAGTTAATCAGATATATCATAAAAAAAGCCAATTAAACAAGTAGACATAATTAACAAGATGCCGCTTAGCTTACAATGTTCCGACTATGTGTTGAGTAATCATCTTGGATTGACCTTGACCTAAAAATCTTGATAAACCAAAATCAGTAATTTTTGGTTCCATCTCAGCATCCAACATAATATTTTCTGGTTTCAAGTCTAGATGATTAATTTGCTTGTTGTGTAGAAAGTGCAAACCCTGAGAAATTCCCCTAATCATATTGTAGCGGACAGACCAGTCGTCTCCTTGAGCTTTCTCTACAAAACCAAGCATAAGATGGTTCAGACTTTGTAGTATATTCTTCATTCATTTTTGTGATTTCTGCATGACATCTAAATTTAAGCTAAGAAAATATATTGGGGGTCGTCCATTTGCATGCATGAAACCACAACTACAAATAATAATTTGCAACTTTCCACATGCAATCTGGACGTCACTTCCAAGGACCGGATGCAATCAGGACGTCATAAGTTCATTATTTTCAAATTTTTTTACAAATTTCCGATAAAAGTTCATCAATTTTCAAAAAAAGTTTATTTATTTTGAAAAAAGTTCACAAATTTTGAAAAAAATCATCAGTTTTGAAAAACACAACTCAACGATGTGAAAAAGTTCACAGATTTAATAAACAATAAATAAATAAAAAGAAAGAGCGAAAAGAAAGCAAAACGGAAGACGTAAAAGACAAGACAATAGAGAAGGAAGAAAAGTAAGAAATGTAAGAAGATACCATAAGAAGCGGTGAGGGCGGGTGGTTACTGCCTATTTTCAAATACAGGGATATTGCAGGATCGAATCATTGCGAACGCACCTCGCTTTGCGTTTAACACATTAACCGGCGCGGCGGGCGCCAAATAGGAAACGACACTGTGAGGACTGCGGAGAGATGGCGCGGCGACTATATCTAGCCTTAAGCAAGATGAAAGAATGACTCTTTTTAATACAAGATTAACATTTTATTATACATGGTCAACGTTTTCTCTATGCACATTTAACACATTTTTTCAAATGCATGATTAACATTTTCTAAATTCCATATTAAATTTTTTGAACACATGGTCAACATTTTTTGTATACACAACGAACATTTTACGAATGCTTGATTAACATTTTTCAAAAACTTGTTCAACATTTTTTTCAAATGCTCATTAACATTTCTAATATACATTATAAAAAAATTTCATCATTTTTTAATACATGGTCAACATTTTTCTATACATATTTAACATTGACCGAATGCTTGATCAACATTTATCAAATACTTGCTATCCTCTCGCTGAAGGCGAGATATAGGGGTGCCCGAAAGATGGACGTGACGCATGAGTTTCGCGCTACCACTAGGTAGCCTCCTGCAGCAGCGCGACCTGTTTTGGTTTCCTCGGTTAACCATACTAAACACTTGTACTGACTAAAATAAGTTCGGTTATCAGACATAAAAATCGATTGTTTTCTATACTAGCATTAAAAACCAGAAGTCAGTCATTTTGGTTTTGGATTTGGTTCGTCCTTCAGTTCATCGGTTTTTATGCCCACCCCTAGTTTTAGCAAACTTTCTATGTTATTATGTTTCATGCAGAACACTTCGTCGGAAAATAAAAAAGCGAGTAAGAGTTTTTGACCAAATGATGCCAAGCATGAGCCCGCGGAGGGACCAAAGGTGGCCCATAGACCCACGTGCCCCCTAGGCACCCAAACCCTTCAGTGATTGGACCTGCTTCCTGGGCCCACTCCCCTCCTTTTTGTTAGAACCTAATAACTGAGTAATTATAATTCTCCATTAATCTAGCAAGTAAGTAACATTAATTTGGCATGAGATCATGTTGAGACCCATCGCAACTAAGCCAACAACAAAAATAGTTTGTCAATCGAATTAGTTGTTTCAGAGATAAACTTTTCATGTTTTAAGACTTGAGAGAACCATGGGGCATGTCCTCCACAAATTCTTTTATTTGATTTCGAATTCGGCAAGTGAGACCAATCACTAGTTCCATGAAGGTTTGTCATTTTTCCTATAATATATCTTGTGCACTTCCAGGATGTTACATTCCAGCTTTTAAGCCACCTCTAAATATAAACCAAGCACCCTCTTGGAATATTTGACCCCACATTTTTTTGCACTTTATATTGATAAAATTCGTTGGAATTTATATCAAGGCCACACTTGTGCACTAACTATGGCGAGATATCCGCAATATACTTTGCACTAGTAAGAGACGGTTCACAAAAAATTAAGCTAGGCCCACCAGTTAATGTATGGTGGAGGCCAATCGCTCCTTCTTTTTTGCTCATGTGTGTGCCAACTAGCTCCATTTGCCTAGTAGGTGGCCCTGGACGCCACATGGAAGTTTCACGGGGCAGCACAAATGATCAAAGGGAGAAGGAAAAGAGGGCAAATGATCAAATCTTTCTTTATTTACCCGATGGGAAACTATTTTATCGACCATGGGAAATAAGACTACAAAAGTAATCATGGAAAAGAATAACTAATGCCAGAGTTGATTTGTGATCAAATTCCGTAGTTGGTTTACGTCTTTAAAATGGGCTATACCTAAGAAAAAACCACTTAAAAAAAGTCGTACTTATCCTTACAGTGAGAGAGCAATAAAGTTGTAAGCAGTACTTACCTTGTTGAAGATACTCCCGAATGTTTCCTTCAGGAACATACTCAAAACAAAGCAATCTATACCGTTCCCCTGCCATCACAAATGTTCCATCCAATGGCATGATTTCCTCTTTTGTATCTGCACAATAGCCTAGAAATCTTACTATATTCTTGTGATTTGCACTCTTTAAACACTTGACCTCATCCATGAATTGCTTATCAGTAACACTATACGCGTTGGACATCTTCACAGCAACCACCCCATTTTGCAATTCTCCCTGTTTTAGCCATGCTGTTAGCATTATTTTGCCACACCATGGAAAATTTCTGAAATTTTACCATTTGTGAGGCAGTTGAGAACAAACCATACCTTACAAACAACTCCAAATGCACCACGACCAATTTCATTTGAAAAGTTTTCTGTGATGAATTTCATAAGTCCATAAGATAGCCTGATTGGCTCTGCACTTGGATCACTCAGTATGCCCTCCAGTACTTCAAATTCAAGTGCTTGGTCATCATCCATTTCTATAATACAAAAAAACCCTATGGATTAAGATCAAATACAGTGTAATGTTGGTTCCTCTGCTTAGGTATACTCCATATATACATATGTTCTCAGTAAGAATCTGTACGAAGATATTACTAATTGCATGACGGAAATGTGATAGTTCTTTCAATACAGGGCAGAGTTATTCAATCGTCAGAAGCATTGCAGATTCCTAGCGATCAATTAGTACGATGTTATACAATGTATCTCACAAATATCATCCGGATACAATATAGGATTAGGAGCACTGCGACAAAAGATCTCAAGCAATGATATGCCACAACGGATGTGCTATTCAATTAGTATGGCTCAGTTGAGCTACAACATAAAAACATGACAAGTTGTGTAATAATATCTCAGTCCATGCTCTCGTAGCAATTTGGAAGTACTATACACGTTTCTTGACTAGTTACTAAAATTTCAAAAACATGATGTTTCCCAAAAGAGAAGACTTTGCCTACGGATCATAGTCTAGGAACAAACGACTTCCTTTGGAAATGACTGGGACATTAGTTCCTCGATAATTCATATATTTGGCCAATATGTTGCCGTAAAATGCATTTATGCTATCAAAGATTGATTCCGAAAGAACATACATACGAAGCAGACGAAGAAATGGAATACTGACCTGGAAGAACTTCAGGTACGCAGGTAAGTTTCTAGGTTGGATATAAATGAAGAGAGGGTCAAGACGAGATTGGATCTACCTGCCTAACAGACGAGATTGGATATAAATGAAGAGATGTGGTCTAAGTACCGGCGGGCTGTAAGTAAGAAGACCAAACACAACAGTCCATAGAATGGTTATTTAACAGTTCCAATGCCTTCACGTGATAGCCCACTGGGATCCAAGCAATGCCACGTGAGGGAGCATTAGATTATACGGCAAATGTCTATCAGGATCCGACCTTGGCCAGAAATCAAGGGGCAAGAAGAGGCACCATATCTGTTAAGCTTTACTCAAACCTGATGCAATTAAGAAAACTAAATAGCACTTCCAAGAAAATAGAGTACTCTTTTATATCTGTAAAGATCTGCCGAGCTTTGCTACATCTACGGGCCATGTCTTACGGAAAGAGGGTTACAGGCTGACATGGCCCAGTTAAAATCAGGAGGTGGGGTCAGTTAAAATCAAGGGGGAAAGAATTTATGGCTGAGACAAGGACACATCCCTCCGTGAAATCAGTCCGTAGCAGTTTTCCCGCAAGTGTAGGATTTTTGAGATCTGCCTCTACATCGGTCCTGGCCATGGGAAGCCCGGCCCGAAAAAGCCCGACCCGGCCCGGCCCGACGCTGCCCCTGGGCCGGGCTCGGGCCTAGTTTTTGAGCCCCAAGGCCGGGCCGGGCCGGGCTCCGGCCCGTCGTTTTTCCTTTTTTCTGAAGGTCGGGTCGGGCAGGTCCGAAGCCCGGCGGGCTTTTACGTGCTCGGGCCGGGCTCGGGCCCAGAAACACAGGCCCGATGGCCGGGCCGGGCCGGGCCCGGTCCTGGGTTTTTTGTGTCGGGCTTGGCTAGGCCCGGCCCGAAGCCCGGCCCGGCCCCGAAACTGGACACGCATCTCCAACGCCTACCCCGAAACTGGACACGCATGTCCGGACACATATGCAGAGAGGCGGTCATCCAAAGCTAACCGCATACTTATGTTTGGTCAATAAAATAAACAAATTCGATGCATATTTAAACAAACGAGGCGATATTCATATGCTGATGTTTACATATTTTTTACCTAAAACCAGATGTTTTTCATATAAATCGGAGAAAATTCATTACATTTCAACATATTTCAAGTAAAGTGTACGCTAAACCTAGTCTAAATAACCGTCAGCACCCGTTCCCCATGTTCGTCAGCCATGAGACCCGAAAAATGAAGCTCAGCCTTTGCAGCCTGCTTGCAGCTAATTGGCCTATGATGATGAGCCTGCCAAGCTGCTCAATGAGAGGGGAGCAGTGGTGGCCTTCCAAAGACCCGGGCGCCGGTGACCTCCCAAACTCTACTCTTCCTTCCTGTCGGTGGAGCCCGCAGATGTGTCGGCTTCGTGCTCGTGGCGATGGGACTTAGCCGTGTCCGAGCTGGCGACATCATCATCATCCTTGCTCCTGATGTACACTTCATCTGCCATCTCATTGATCTCCTTGAAGGCGGCTTCTAACTCTGCCTGATGGAGGTAGTACCGCCAGCGGTCGCGACGAATGTCGCGAGCGGAGTGGTAGGAGTCAAACAGTGCCTCCTGCCCGCCCACATCCATGTCCAACGCAATACCCGTGCTAGTGGCAAGTTGCTCCTCTGTGCATCGGTGCTCGTCGAGGAGGCGGAGGTTGTAGGCTTGCCCGCCCTTCGCTTGCAAGAACAAGGTCTCCCACTGTGCCCACACCACGTTAGTGTATTGAGCACGTGCCTCACCTATGGTGATGCTGACATCGGCCGGCGAGGGCGATGGTGCCGGCTCGTTGTCGGCCGCTTCTTCCATTGTGGCGTTAGCATCGCTGACCTCCAGTGAGTTCATCCGTCTGCCGTCCTACCAGCCGCCTTCAATGGCGGTGATCTTCTTCTTCTGCTGATTGCACGAGACGCTGTCCTAGAGATCTTCGGAGATTGAGGAGGCCATTGAGGGCATGGTGCCGAGGGGATATAGGGAGCGGAGGAGGCTGGATGCAACTATGGTTGGGCCTAAAGGTTAAATAACAGGCGGATAGCAGGGCAAACGATGCGGTGGTTAATGGTGAGCGATCGACAGATGACAGGTGGCACTGGAGTAGGTTACTTGGCAACTGCACATGTGTATTGTAGGGAGGCAAACCGACGATCTGACGTTTGAACGCGGAGCAATCGTGTGCACCTGCAAGCGGCGCTCTCGGTCATTGCGTTCCTTCAATGCCGGAACAACGTGAGAGTTCACATCCACTTTGGGCGGGCATGAATGCGGCACTGACGCTGTGGAGCAGCATTGACCGCTTTAGGTGGGAAAGCGTGCGGCCAAGGGAGATGGTTTTGGGTGGGCCATGTTTGTCGGAAGCGTACATGACAACGGTCGGACGCCCGCATAGCCACCCCCCCAAGTTTGCTTCCGGTTTGCAAAAAAAATTGACGTCCGGACCGCCGAGCGAACCGATACAGGACGACGTTGGATGGGAAAAAATGTCTGAACCACCCAGTCCGGATGGTTGTGGGCGGTTTGAGGGTCCATGTTGAAAATGCTCCTAGGGTGCATTAGAGGACCTTGCAAAAACATTACTGCGTAGTAGTCTTCCTTAGCAGATGATCTAGTATATAAACTTTTATGATTCATCTTTGCCTTGTGTGTTCATCAACACAAACAACAATGTGATTGATAACTGTGTTCTATTTTTAGTACTCGACTATCCTATAATCATAACCTATGATGATCAATAGCCACATGAAAATCTTATGTTCACTGACACTTTTAGTTGCTATAAAGAATTCCACACTTTTTATCCCCAAAAATGATTCTTTTTACCCTGGAAACAATAAGCCAATGCCCTACTGTAGTTTTTTGTAGAATTTGAAAAAGTACAATATAGGTCTGGGCTGCCTGCCATTTGATTAGTTAACAAAGAGGTTGTCACTATGTTTACTCACCTAGATCGGCCGGAGGCTTATTGTTTTCTTTCTTCCACGGGAAGAAAGAGGACCCTTTGGCTAGGGTTTTTCGTGCCTCCTGCCGGTGCCGCCGTTGGTCTACCTCATCTCCTATGGTCTTAGGGCCATGGAGGCATGGTGGATCCTGGCCCATGCCGGCGGGAGGGCTCCATTTTTTCATGCTCTTTCGAGTCTTGTTAGGGTTTGTGTCTTGCTAAGAGAGACGAGACGGCGGCGGCGGCTCTCTGAAGATGGAATAAGGTTCTCCCTGCCTTGTCCCTGTCCCGGTGGTGTTTCTAGCATCGTCGGAGGGCGTGTGGAGGTTTGTCTCTCACGGATCTCGCGGAAATCGGTCGATGTTCGTCTTGGGTGGATCTTGTTTCCTTTCGTCTGTGTTAGTGTGTCTATTGGTTGGATCCTTCCGATCTATGCTTCTGTTCATCAACGGCAGTTGTTCTGGTGTGCTGATTCTATGGAGCCTTAACACGATGACTTCTCGGTTGTCTACTACAAGGTTTGCCTGACTTTGATGAGGGAGGGATGAAGACGGTGACGCGCCTTTGGTTCGCTCTAGTGCTAGTAGTCGTCGCTAGGTGATCTACGGACCTAGATGTAATTTTTTACTTTTCATATTTTTTGTACTACCTTGACAGTTGATGAATAGATCGGAAGATATCCTCGGAAAAAAACTCACCTAGATCTGTGTATGAGCTGTTCACATGCTGGGTAGTTTGACTACTGGTAGTATCAAGCAAGTCATTATATTGCCAGTAGTTACATTGCCTGCTAGAAGTAATCATCTACTCTACTACCTCCTTTCCGGTTTACATGACTCAATTCAAAAATCTCACCAACCAAGATAGATGATAAGTGATTAAATAATTTTGTAGTTTGTAAAAGCATTTAATTAATGCATTTATTTTTCTCAAAGAATTGTGTTTACCAATGCATTAATTGCAATGCATGCATGAATGAAGTACATGCATTAGTCAATTTTCTCTGAATCCTTTCATGCAATGAATTAATGCACCTTGAAATCTAAACATGTGATGGGGAACAATTAAATTGAGACTTGTAAAATGAGAAACATAACATTTTGAGATAAACAGGTTGTAATGGCAAATATCATATAGTAGTATCATGCATATGATACCAGTGTATGATACTACGTCCGTAGTGTATAGTATCATATGTTAGTATCATAGCTGACTTCATTTATTAGCATGCACGACACATAGTAGCACACCATTTAATATGATACGGTATCATGATATGATACCGAACCCTCTTTTTATCATTTAATCCTATGCCACCTCATCAAATTTGTCTAGTTGGCATGCATGATACTACCTATGATACTCCCATTATGACGCCCTAAGT